TCTATTCTATTCTATTCTATTCTATTCTATTCTATTCTATTCTATTCTATTCTATTCTATTCTATTCTATTCTATAAACAATCCACTCAGTGCTTGGGAGGGAGAGCCACTGAGAAAATCAGATCACCTAGCCACTAGCCTCCCAGAAGATTCATTCCCAAATAATAAGAATCACATAACTCACCAGAAACTCCACTGAGACTTCAAGATCCCCCTCACAGTCACTGCTATTAAGCCTGGTTTCACCCAGTCTTTTATTTAAGTATTAAATGCACGAAATAATAAACCACTTTTGGTATATATCATTTTTTAGGTAATTAGGGCAAAGAAACGACATCGAGTTGGCCACACCCACACAGTCACATGACCGCCCAGCCATGCCCACCCAGCCAGTCATTAGGGCAGAGAGCCCCTTGCTAAAAAATTTGAAGCCCACCCCTGTTTGATGCTCCTACAGTTTGATGGGATTATTTGTGTGTCTCTAGTTAAAGTGATTGCTCTGGATCCTATCTTCCTGCCTTAATGTGTTAATCCTGTCCCAGGACCTTTGGCTTTTCTATCCTGGGGGGGGGGTGTTAATCCTGTCGTGGGGGGCAGGAAAAAGGGAGTGTCCAGTTTACCTTGGAGAGTTTATTTTTAGCCTGAATCCCCTTATCTTAGGGGCTCTACTTAAGCATGTCTGTTGTCAGCTCTGTTACTTTGTAACAGTCATTAGCAGGGCTGCTCTGAGTTTTCCTTTCAGCTGGTGCTTCTTGGTTTTCTTAAAGGGGCAAGGGCTGGCTTGAGTCTCTCAGCACTGTTTTCTGAAGTTTCTGGTGCTGTCCTGTTGGGGTGTACTTCCCACAGACTTTAAACTAAAATTGAGGGGGGAGGGGGACCGAGCCTTAGAACCTTTAGGACCAAACCTCAGCATAAACTCCAAGACAACTAATCCAACAAAGTGTTAAGGAGTGATAGGAAGGAACAAAAACTCAGATGCAAATTAGGAGATGGAGGACTATGAAGGACTGGAGGTTTTTAAGAAGAGACAGGACAGTCACTTGTCTGAAATAATATAGGATCTCCAGCTTGAGAAAAGGGGCTGGACTAGAAGACCTCGAAGGTCCCTTTCAGCTCTATTATGATTCTTCTTGCGACTCAGATGTTTATACATTAAAACTCAAAGTTTGAGGAACAAACAGGGTGAACTTGAAGTATGAGTGAAGGCAGATATGATATAGTTGCCGTTACTGACAAATGGGATGAAACTTTACAACAGGAATGTACAGAGGGAACAGTGTAGAGTAGAATAGGCTCACAGAGATGGAAGGGACCTTGAAGGTCTTGTAGTCCATCCCCGCCTACTCAAGCAGGAGACCCTATATCTCATTTCAGACAAATGGCCAGTCTCTTCTTAAAAGAGAAGAGCTACTAAGGCTTGGAGACTAAAACCTATGAAGAACAGCTGCAGGATTCGGGTTTGGCCAGTCGAAGGGAACAACTGTTTGCAACTATGTTAAGTTAGTAACATGGTTGTTAAGTGAATCTGGCTGCCCCAAGGACTTAGCTTGTCAAGGGGTCGCAAAAAATAATCACATGACTCCGGGACATTGCAACCGTCATAAATACGAGTCAGTTGCCAAGCGGTTGAATTTTGATCGCGTCACCGCGGGGATGCTGCAATGGTGCGTAAGTGTGAAACATGGTCCTAAGTCCCTTTTTTCAGTGCTGTTGTAACTTTGAATGGTCACTAAATGAATTGTTGTAAGTCGAGGATTCCCCTCATATACCTGCGCTCTATTATATACGTCCACTTTTTTTTCTTTAAAAAAGAGAAAACAAACTTGGAGCAACTAGAAAAGCCCTAATTGTGATATGTAAAATTATACCTGTGAAAATATAAAGCAACGGTAATGCCATTTTTAATCTCTGTGCTAACCTGAGATAATTTACTGGAATATTATGTAAGAATTCTCTATTGTTTTGTATGAAGGTCATATATTTGTGGGGTCATGCTGTCCAGTGTCATGTTAATGATGGAGATTACTGGAAATGGAAACGGGTAAACAGGACGAGGAAACAGATAGTATGCTACAATAATAGGGGTGTTGCTTTGGGAGATATGTAGCTGGATAGATTGTGAACCCGGAAAGGGACAGAGACGGTATATTTGAACCTGTATATAAACTCCAGCCTTCCTGGGAACCATGCCTTCTGCCCACGAACAGAATTCCCTTTTGCAAAAGTTTCCTAATAAAGCTCTTATTTATTGTTCTTGTGTCTCCAGTTGTCTGAATACCTGAATGGTTGATTTTTTATCACACTAATATATATATCTATTATCTGCTTCTACACTGTACTATATAGGTAATCCTTGAGTTACAACAGTTGTAAGCTCTGTGAACCCCTGTTATATATTGTCACTTAAAAAAAACTCTCTTGTAAGTTTTTTAAAAAAACCCACTTCTAATATATGCACTGAAAAATATTGCCCCACCCAAAGTCCCAGGAGTCCCTCTCTAACCCTGGCCTCCCTGCTCCATGAGCCAGGCATCCTGCCATACTACTTGTTAAGCCTGAATTCCCCAACGAGTGTTAAGGAAAACAAACTAAACAGAATGTGTAGCGTAGTCAGATAGGCAGACAGGTAAATGTGTGAGATAAGTTTGTATTTTAGTTAACACGCAGTAAAAAACAGATACGCTTGTGCTATCAAAAATATAGTTTATTCCATTAGGAATTATAGCATAGTCAAAATAAACGGTACATTAGTCATGTATCATTTCAGTCAGTCCAGTCGGGGATACTCAATTTGCAAAGTCCGTGTTGAATAGCCAATGTCAGTTCACTTACAATAAATCAGTCCGTATTATCTCTTCTCTCCGTTGAGAAATCAACACTCCTTTCTCTCCTCCGTTCCAGTAAGGAAAAACGCAGTCATCAATCCATCCAGTAATTAGGGATCATTAATCCAGAGAGAGAGAGCTGCAATTGACTTGCTTCTTTTATGGTGCTTTTACAACCACACCCTTAATTAC